CATACTCATTCTTTGTTACTGAGTAAAAGTGGTCAAGAGCATATTCAGGAAAATTAAAGAATTATTGTACCTAAACTAAAAATAAATTATTTGTACTGAATGATGTTCATTTCTATTTAAATTAATGTTTGACATAACCAAAAACGGTATACGTTTACAATATGGCGCAAATGTATAATGTCATATATACTGGCTGTTTAGGCCTTATCGGAACTTTAGAAATAAAATGAGTGGACTGTATTAACAATAGTTTTAATGCCGTAAAACCTCTAAACAAACATATTATAAATTGAAAAATAAAGTGCCCGTCTGCTACCGCCGCTGAGTGAGGTACAGAAGCGCTCGCGCTGCCGCGAGGGCAGCGACCGGTCCGCGCTCCCATGCGTCCATCATTTTGGCCGAGGCGCGATGACGTGCGCCGACACTGGCCAATGTTTTGAAAGAAAACACCAGTATGGCTCGATTTATGACTTCATTTGCATTGGCCAGTATAGTGGGTTCTATTTCGGAATACATGCTAAATTACGACCTCAGACTAAACACAGAAATATAGACAAAGCGCTGCATATATTTCAAGTCCTCTTATCGTTCTTCTTTCTTTTGAAAGTTCACAGCTGGATGCGCACACATATGTGCCTAAAACCATGCCGTTGTTTGCTTATGATTTAATATGCATGAGATGATGAGAGCGTGTCCTTGCAAGTTACAACATATTTTGGCTTCACTTAAATAAACGCAGCGCTCCGTCTATCGTTCTTTATTGGCCTGAAATTATGACATCATATATTTATTTGCTATAATGGCGAAATAAATATAATAAGAGAAAATTTTAGAGATATGCGATAAAAATAATTTACTCTAACAAATAATATTGCTTCATCTGTGATCAGTCATATATTTCAGTCTGGTATAATATAAGATACTTACAGTATGATAAAATTTATTTAAAAGAATTCAATTGAAAATAAATTAGTTTGGTTTCTAAAGTTGATATTTAGTTAGATTTAAATGAATTTTGTGTAATTGTTCATGGGGAGTTCGGCTTGGCAGCGTTCGGGAAATTACGACATATCTTCTCGTCATGTATACCTCAATCTCTAAAAACTAGATTGTACAACCAGTGCGTGTTGCCAGCGATGAATTACGGATCTGAGACGTGGTCCTTCACTGCTGGCCGTATTAGGACGCTCAAGGTCGCTCAGCGAGCTATGGAGAGGGCTATGCTCGGAGTTTCTCTGCGTGATAGACTCAGAAATGAGGATATCCGCAGCAAAACCAGAGCGACCGACATAGCCCAACGGATTAGTAAGCTGAAGTAGCAATGGGCCGGCCATATAGCTCGAAGAACCGATAACCGATGGGGAAGAAAGGTTCTCGAATGGCATCCTCGTACCGGTAAGCGTAGTGTAGGGCGACCCCCCACTAGATGGAGAGACGACCTGGTAAGATATGCAGGAAGTTGATGGATGCAGGTGGCTCAGGACCGTGCTTTGTGGCATTACTTGGGGGAGGCCTATGTTCAGCAGTGGACTTGTGAAGGACTGTAATGATGATGATTATGATGAAATGAATTTAACTTTTTGAAGTTAATTTGCTGTCAAGTTTTAAATAAGTATTAAATAGAAAATTAAAATTTATCCTTTTAATATTTAACATACATTACGCTAATTGGTGTACACGTTAAAAAGGCTATATATTTTATAAGCCTGCTAAATCTAGAAAAAAATCTTCAAAGAAGCAAAAGAAACATAATTGATTATATTAAAATTCTTACTATCCATCCTTCTTACCGTTTATTAACAAATACATTAGAACCAAGTTAGGTAAACAAAACTTACCTACTTAGTAAAACACTATTTGTTGAAGTGGGTTATTATTTTCCTCGTAAACATTTCCATTTGATCATTAAATGTGAAGTATAAAGTAACAAACCAAATGTAAGATACAGTTTTTAACACATAATATTAACATAAAATTGATTGGATGGCTGATCACAAGGTTCATGAACACAAGATATAGTTTGCTTATAGCTAGAGCATTCACAAATATATTAATTTATAATATAGAAAATTGCATATAATATATAATATTTTTATCACCGTTCCAGCATAAGTGGATAGATTAAATATTATATTTTGATCGCCCTGTATACAACATTTTTGTATATGTTAGCGCTCAGATCACATATACAATAGAAATGTATACACCTATATTGCTCGGTTTAGAATAGAGTTCATATAATTTTCACCATTCCCATAATAAGTTAGTAGGAAACAAAAATAATTTACATAACTATTATAAGCTTAAAGTCTACAGTATATAATATTTCCGCTGATTTATTTTTGTTTTGCTATTATAAGGCAGCTAACAATTAATAAGAAAATTATACTGGCAATACTCGGCATTCATCTAATTCAATTACACAGAACAAACGACGGAAATATAGCAACACCATTATTTATACCTACTATAACGTATTATTACCAGTATTATGAATATTTGACTAATTAGTAATGGGGGAATTCTAAATGCAGGAGGATTTATTCAACTATTTCAAATTCTTTTGAAATAATTATTCGTACTAAGTATTATCACATCTATCACTATGAAGTAACTACCATAATTAACTATTGACAGAAAGTCGAGATAGTTCTTTATGGAAAATTTATTGTTTAAACGTTTTAGTGGTAATTCACACTCAAAATTCTATTATACTGGGTAACTTGATTCAGATAAAACATAATTTGATCTTAATGTGATGTGGTTACTCGTAAATAAAACGAATGGAAAGAGTTGACACTAACTAACGAGTAAGTATCTTGTATCTAAATATATAGATGATATATTTTCTTTATTATTTGAATAATTTATTTGTAATAATCAAAGTAGATATCAGTGTATACACTACCGAAATTATTTGTAAAGGTTTGTCTTTATTGGACTAGAGTATGGTAAACAATTTATTCTATTTGAATGTTTAAAGCGACAAATTTCCAATTTATATTTGTTCTAAGAACAGAAAAGTACCACAATGTAGCTGGGGCTTTGCCCAAGCTGTAATCAATTTTTTCTCTAAGAAATGGTCGTACTCTTTTACGTAACTAAATGTTAATTGTCCTAAAAAAACATTGAGCAGTTTATAGAAATAAACAGTATAGTTAAAATGATGATTACGAATTTATTTTCACGTCAATGAGACGTCTGATAGGCTGATATTATACAGAAATCGAAACTGGCAACACTGACAGAATTAAACTCTGCTTTAAAAACAAAATTTTAGTAGAACAACACTGAACTTAACTAAATTGAACTGAAGTTATTTTCAAGACTGGATATCAGTAAATAATAATAAAGAGCGATAGTTTCAATAGTGTCCTTGGTGTCAGTTACGAGCATGTAAATATAAGAACAAACTTGTAAAACATCTCCAATGTCTTGCTAGATATAGATCGTGCATACTTTTAGTATGCTTGTTAAGTATTAAGCGTGAAACTCATATATACATAAATCATGGATTTATATCTTCTTTTTAGTATATTTAATCTACTGCTGGACATAGCTATTTTTAGAAACGCACCAAGTGGCATGAACCATGAATGCGTTGAAAGATTTGCGCATAGTAAACCAAGCTTGATTTAGGGATCTCTAAGCAAATACTTTTACACTGGTGATACTGCAAATTTAGATTATGGATTTAGACGTGGACGTGGGATCCATGCTGCAGTTATATTTGTAGTATAGTTGTACCACGAATGGGTCGGCTCGACCGGGGAAGGACCACGCTCTCACAGAATACCAACGTCAAATAGTAGCTTAATGCTGCTGTGTTTCGTATGGTGAGTGTAGAGAACGGGATACCCTTTTTACTGGAAACGAGGCTTTCCACCTGTCTTCACGCATGACAACGCATCTGCATTTTGATTCGTAATCGAGGATAGATGTAGATGTCTATGGGCCACAGCAACCACTTACCATCAGGTGGACTGTGTGCTCGTTTGTCATCCTATCCTATATAAAATAAATAAAAAAATACGGCATATGTAGTTGATATACCGACATTTGGATCACACCAAAGTGACTTATACGGACTGAACAACAACTGAAGTCTAAATCACGCTAGGAAAGTTTCCAAACGATTCTGCTACCTACGTTTTACAACAAATAGTGTTGCTTGCTCTTGCTTGGGATATCGAAACGAGTTGTAAGCACGGAGGGATAGCATTAGGGGCAAGATCGTGCATGTACTTTACCGCATGTGAATAACCAAAAGTTAACAAAGATCGACTAACAACCAATCGTGTAAAAAAAACTTTTATCGTCTTTGAGCCCGTCTTTATTAAGAAATCTACAAATGGATTACTTTGCAGGTCTAGATTTTGCTTACGACTATCCATACACATATAATTGAATATTATTTTCTCTAATAGTCTATAGAATGGAGTGTCCTAATGGTAAATGTAATTTAATATATGTTTAGGTGTAGACAGTACAAAGTCGTACTTTTTATCAATACAAAAAACTCATTGATTCATGCGAATTCTTGAATCTTAAGTAGTTCTTTTAGCACAACACAACATATAAAAGTCGTCGTGTGATTGCACGAGCTATTGGAGGCATACATGTGAGTCGAATAGCAGCGCATACGGAAACTGCAGCTGAGCTTTATGGAAAATACAATCTACATCGGATAGCAGAGCATTGTTTGGATACCGTAGCTTGACCCATTTTAAAGATATTATATACCGTCGTATAACAGCATATTGTCTGAACAAAGCGCGAGTTATATTGAACATACAATAATTTACATTGGCTAGCAGAGTATTGTTTAGATATTGCAGAAGAATATCGAAGATGCAATCCATGTTAAAAATCCGTACAATCCAAGTGGGATAGGCAGCGCATTGTGACGTTTTTCAAGTGTGTTGTTCGCGTGGACAATGTATTCGGGCGAGGTGTCGAGGTGTCGAGCGGGCAACCTACCCGGTGGGTTGTGCTCGGGGCTAGCTGGGCGCGGGCGCAGGCTCGCAGCGCACTCCTGCCAGGTTGAGCAGCGCCTCGGCCGTGCGCCGCTCTTCGCCGCCCTCACCGCTGTACGAGTGCTCGTCGCGCGCGCACCGTGAGATCACCAGGTGCGCCGCGGGCGGCAGCTGCAAAGTGGCCACCAATTACAACATGCTACCTACCTGTGGCCTTCGTAAATATTCATATAAAGCACATATTTAACTTAGTAAATTTATATAATTGTGACAAAATAAATAACCGGCCCACCATCCCCGAAGAGGATAACCTATGACTGAACCTTTTGTTGAGCGAAGGATATAAGCTAAAATAGAAATGATGATGACGATCTCGACCCTTAGGTGTCAAAATAACAATCAAAAATCAAAACTTCGAAAAATCATTCAATAACGTATTCAGTAACGAATCCAATGATCGTGCTTTATGAAAAGTTACTTATGTTCAGAAATAAACTTGTCAGGTAGTGTGTACTGTGATGATGATGATGATGATGACGAGCCCGTACTTCATAGCCGCGGTACGAGCACGGTGGCCACGGCGAGGTAAACTCGTCGTCGCCGGGCTACGGGCGCACATACACTGCAACGACCTGCTCGAGCACGGCGGGCCCGTACTTTAATGTTGAGCACGGTGGCCGCGGCGAGGTACTCGTCGGCGCCGGGCTGCGGGCGCACACACACTGCACCGACCTGCTCGAGCACGGCGGGCCCGTACTTCATGGCAAGCACGGTGGCCGCGGCGAGGTACTCGTCGGCGCCGGGCTGCGGGCGCACACACACTGCACCGACATGCTGGAGCACGGCGGGCCCGTACTTCATGGCGAGCACGGTGGCCGCGGCGAGGTACTCGTCGGCGCCGGGCTGCGGGCGCACACACACTGCACCGACATGCTCGAGCACGGCGGGCCCGTACTTCATGGCGAGCACGGTGGCCGCGGCGAGGTACTCGTCGGCGCCGGGCTGCGGGCGCACACACACTGCACCGACCTGCTCGAGCACGGCGGGCCCGTACTTCATGGCGAACACGGTGGCCGCGGCGAGGTACTCGTCGGCGCCGGGCTGCGGGCGCACACACACTGCACCGACCTGCTCGAGCACGGCGGGCCCGTACTTCATGGCGAGCACGGTGGCCGCGGCGAGGTACTCGTCGGCGCCGGGCTGCGGGCGCACACACACTGCACCGACCTGCTGGAGCACGGCGGGCCCATACTTCATGGCGAGCACGGTGGCCGCGGCGAAGTACTCGTCGGCGCCGGGCTGCGGGCGCACACACACTGCACCGACCTGCTCGAGCACGGCGGGACCGTACTTCATGGCGATTACGGTGGCCGCGGCGAGGTACTCGTCGGCGCCGGGCTGCGGGCGCACACACACTGCACCGACCTGCTCGAGCACGGCGGGACCGTACTTCATGGCGAGCACGGTGGCCGCGGCGAGGTACTCGTCGGCGCCGGGCTGCGGGCGCGCGTCTGCGGCTAGGCGGCGCGCCAGGTACGGGAACAGCTGCGGGTCGGGCGCGTTCTTGCTGTTGTCGGGCCCCGCCGCCTCGGGCTCGCTCTCCACCGGCGGCACTGGCTGGCGCCCGAACGCCTGTACAGCAAGGAAATATCTTGATATTATCAGTATTACATGTGTGTCGTAAGTGTAGTGTGTAAGTGACGTAAGTGTAGTGTGTAAGTGTCGTAAATTATCAGGCCGTGGCGATGCGCTTGCATTAGCGTAGCGCACCCATTGGCAAGGTCGCCATATAACGTTGGAAGTGGCGTCAATAGGAGACGTGTTGGTCTGTCTACGACTTTAAGACTACTCGCTTATGCTAAACTTAACACTTACCGTACTATGTATACCATTAGACGGAAACTACGATATTAATACATTGCGCACTAAGTTACTGTCAATTTTCCTACTGCGATCTGATACTGCGATGGGCCAAAAAGACGACTTCTTTGTTTTGGTAACCGCGGACGCTGTTTTCAACAATCTAATACAGATTTTGTTTAATGTGACAAGGAAAATGCTGTCATTATTTATGTACGCACCTTTGTCAACGTGATTGTAACTTAATTTTGTATTTGCCTGAAAAAAGTAACTATCGTAAATGAAAATACAATTGCATGGCATATTTAGCATGCCGGTTATCTACCCAGTTGGCGGGGACGCCCCTCCCCCACAACAAGTCACACCTGTGACATAGTTGCTAAATGTGCGAAACGTCTCCATGGCAACTTGACCGAATGAGGCTCTAGCGGTACAGCGAATGAAAACGCCAATACTCACAGTCTACAAGGATAAGTCTGATGAGTATCAACATGGCCGGGGCTCTGAGCTGTTTAACTCGCTGTAATCTGGTGAGTTTTTGAGTGACTGCCTCGTTGGTCTAGTGGTTGTAGTAGTGTGACTGCTGATCATGAGGTCCTGGGTTCGAATCCCAGGTCGGGCCAACAAAATCAATTATAGAAATTTTTCCGTCAAGAAATTCTCAGTAGCTACCCGGAGTCAGGAAGTTGGCGGTGTCTCACCCCCGTGCCTCGGAAAGCATGTACAGCCGTTGGTCCTGCGCCTGATCTCTCTCCGGTCGTGTCGGTTTACCGTCTCATCGGGTAATGAGAGTGAAGGAATAGAGAGTGCACCTGTGCTTGCGCTACACTTGGGCTCTATAATCCTGTCCTGCGCCGATGGCTAGTCTCCGTTGAGGCAGGCCGCCGTGGCCGAAATTCGGTCTGGAGGATTATTATTATTTGGGTTATTGATAGAGTAATCACATCTGGTTGGGCTGGATAAATATATAAAAGGAAAAAATAAATATACTTAAATATATATTTAATATACTAACAAAAATAAATAAATAATATATAAATAAATAAAAGCCCAACCAGATGGAAGCCCTCGGCAGGGGAGACCAAACGGCCGAGGGTTAGGGGGTAAGGGAAAGAAACCGGCGGACGATGCGGCGGTATCGAGGAGCACCGCCTTCTGCATTTGAGCCCGGAGCGGTCCGTCACGGAGTCCTAGTCGCCTCAGATGACCCAAGAGGCTGGCTGGGATTAACCCGTTTGCAGACACGACTACAGGAATAATTTCGGCCGGCAGACCACCCCACATGTCGGTCACCTTGTGAGCCAGGTCCAGATATTTTGATTGGTTATCTGTTTCGGCTTTCACGAGGTTCTCGTCATACGGAATGGTAATATCGACCAAAAATATCCTTGACTGTGCCCGGTCCATCAGCACAATATCAGGCTTATTCGCAAGAATAGTCCTGTCTGTGATGATGGCCCGGTCCCAATAGAGCCTGGCGCGATCATTTTCGAGCACGGCTTCCGGCAAGTACTTGTAATACGGCAATCTCCGATCCACGAGACCGTATTTCAGAGCGAGCTCCTGGTGAAGAATTCTGGCTACTAGGTTGTGCCTGTGCAAGTACTCATAGTTAGAAAGCGCCGAACAACCGGAGATGACATGCCTAAGTGCACCGACAAGCTCGACAAATGTCGACGGTGCCATCCTTTAGGATGTATCTCCGATAGTTGTTGGTCTTAATAACCTGATCCTGTATTGCACAGACAAAACTCTCGGTTTCCCCGAAGAGGTCACCGAAACGTAGCCAGTTGAGGGAGGCGACTGTATCTACGAAGGGCTCATGTAGAGCCCTGTAGTACCTCCCGTGAAGCTCCTTCTCCTTCCATACGGTCTCCCGGTCGGAAATGCTAAGCACTGCTGGGTCCTGCCATTGCTCGTTGGCCAAGGATAGAGGGGTAAGTCCTTTATCACTAGAAATGACGTCATTATAGAATGGATCATCCGATCTCGCCAGGAAGTAATCACGGAGGCTGCACACTTCGCGATTATGCATGGTGGGCGTGGCTTTTTGAGCGCGCTCACCATTCATAATCGCGAAGTACTTTTGCGGCAAGTACAGCCTCATTACCGACGATCTCGGATAATGCATCCTATGGGACGTCATGGTAGTGCGGACTTTTCTATCCAGGGCGTTAAGTTCAGTCTAAGTCCACCTGAGTATGCCAAAGGTATACATGAGGACAGGCATGACCCAACCGTTATATGCGTGTGTCTTATTCACACTGGACAAAAGGCTGTTAAGCACTTTGGTCAAGTGTGCACAAACTGACTGTTTCATACCAGCCTCATCGATACCGATGTTCTGTGACATACCCAGGTATCGGTATGTTTCAGCTTCGGAAAGGGTCCTTAAGTTGACGGGCATAGATAAGTCTATACCCTCCGAGTTAGCAACACTTCCCCTTTCAACATGGAGGCCAGGTGTTTGCTGTCACAGATCCCTCCCTCCCACTGTGAAGGATGGTGGTGAGATTCACCGTTTAAATATCGGTTTGTATGGGTCTTTGTACTGTGTATAGGAAAAAGACCCATACAAACCGATATTTAAAAGGTCAATCTCACCACCATCCTTCACAGTTAGCTACCGTGGGCAAATCTTTGTTACAGAGAGCACGTGACACTGTGACAGCAAACACCTGGCCGCCGAGCTTCAGCACGTCAAGCAAGTTCTGCACGACAACAAGCTTCGGGTCCCGCGCCTACGTCACAGTGACCGAGTGAAGCCGGCCACAGTCGAGCGTGTGCCTGCTGTACTACCATATGTCAGAGGTGTCACAGACAAGATTGGCTATATCTTGAAGCGAGCTTCTATTAGAACATTCTACAAGCCGCCGAAGAAGATTAGTCAATTCCTACCATCCGTCAAGTGTCATATTCCTCTACAAGATGCAGGAGTGTACAAGCTTGATTGTGAATGTGGTCTCTCTTATATAGGACAAACCAAAAGATCAATTAGGACCCGCGTAAAAGAACATATAGCTGATGTGAAGCATCAACGTTCCGGGAAGTCTGCAGTTTGTGATCATATCCTAGACGGCCCCAACCATTACATCAGATTTGATAGACCACAAATCCTCGCGAAAGAACACCGATTCCTACCAAGGATGATACGTGAGGCTATTGAAATTAAAAAACATCCTAATTTCAATAGAGAAGGAGGCTGGGTACTACCACCTGCTTGGGATCTTATAATCAATAAAATTAAAACTAAACCCAAGCATACCACTGCAAGACCTCAGGACATAGTCAGTTCATTTTGCATAGATCGGACCATAAACAATAATTAAAAAAGCTGAAGGTACTCCGGGTTTAACAATGACATCGGGACGTCAGTCATCTCAGTCCCCCGTGACCATGGGTGCTGGAAAGCGCCCGAAACGTCGGGAATTAAAAATAAAAAGTAAAAAATAAATAAAAATAAACGCGACAAAATCCGTAAAAGTAGTTTTAATCATGTACAATGTTCGTGTAAATATAAGAAATCATTATAACATAAACTAATTAAAAATTACAGTTGTATAACCAAAATAGTAATATATTTAACTAGTTTATTCGAAGAATAATTTTTATCCGACGAATTATCTGACGGACCTGAATTGTTTATAAGCATCCCCACTATAAATAATAAGCATAGAATACTATAATACATACATAATAGAACGGGGGAGTGGGCAGAGCCCCTGTAGCCACTAACATGTGACTAACACGTCAATTCACACGTATAAATGTCAACACGAGATGTGTTTTGACGTTACAATCGTTTCCAAATTACCCATGCAAATTATTTAGAAAATGCCAAATTGCACTCTATTTACAAATAAATATGTATTAAGGGTGCACTAGTCGCTCATTCTTCCATACAAATGTAGTCTGGCGATTACTCCACTGTTTGATGGTGTACGTTCAAAATAAAAAATGATTTCAATTTGTCTCATCATTATCTAGCCCTGTATGGAAACAAAAAGTAAAAAAGAGTATGTTTAAAAGTTATAAGCGTCGAAAATTCTAAATTTCAACACTAGTTTTAACACATCTTTGGGCGGAAATAAATACCATAAGAAGAACGAAAATTGCAAAACAGTTACCATACAGGGATAGATTAGTTATTAAAAAATGCAAATAATTTTATTTTGAACAGATACATTCAATAGATTTTTCATGACATCCAGACTGCCAAAGGTCTGTTTATAAAATTTCGCGCGCTCCTTTCTGTTGTAAATCATCTTACCTTTCGCTACAAATTGTTTCCCCGATCAGTGGGACAGACGGAGGGGGGGGGGGGGCAGCGCGCACTCACACATGCTCACTAGGTTAGCCGCTGCTATCTATTTATGGTTGTAATACCTACATATCTACATCTTTATTTAGAAAAATTGCTACCTTTTGTTCGTGTCCACTGCTGAAGCCGGGATGAATATAGCTGCTAAAATGTACCCATAAGTTTGTTGAAGCACATTTAGTTAAAATTGAAAACAGGTAGGTACATAATAATGAACTTTCGATACAGGTAGTACATTAGGTACGTAACTACTTTAATTTGCTAACTAACGAAAACATCTCATTGATAAGCACGATTATGGAAAAGCTTAAAATTATCTAGTAATTTAATTAGAATATGTAATTTTTTGATTTTCGATAATTGTGCTTACGTATAGGAATTTAAATACAAAACAGCCTATAATAAATGCTATAAGAGACGAGAATGGATGTATTCTGAATGATGAAGTTTCGAATTTAAACAGATGGAAGGAATACTTTGAAAGCGTGTTTATGAGTGAAGAGTCGTATGAATTAAATGAACTAGAAATTCCGAAAGAAGTGGAAAGGGGTATGGAGATAAGTGTAGATGAAATAATGAAAGCAATGAAAAGCATGAAAGCAGGTAAGGCAGCTGGATATGATAGAGTATCACTCGAGATGCTAAGGGCTGGAGAGGGAGTGGTGGCAGGCCTGCTGTACACCTTGTTTAATTTATGTTGGGAATTAAAACGGGTACCGGATGACTGGTGTAAAGCAGTTATAGTACCAATATATAAAGGAAAAGGGTCACAGCAGGACTGCAAAAACTACCGTGGTATCAGCTTGCTTAGTATTGTGGGTAAACTGTATGCTAAGGTGTTAATTGAAAGAGTTATGAAAGAAACTGATGGAAAAATTTGGGATGTGCAAGCGGGTTTTAGAAAGGGAATGGGGTGTACAGATCAAGTCTTTTCCATGCGCATGATTGCGGAGAAGTTTTTGGCCAAAACCCAGAAAGTTTTTTGTGCGTTCATGGACTTGGAAAAGGCTTATGACAGAGTGCACAGGAATGTGTTATGGCAAACACTGAACTCATATGGGTTGAGCGCTGGTTTGATACAGGCATTAAGGTCTCTTTATAGGGACTCTAGTGCTTGTGTCAGGATCAATGGGGTCTACTCGGACTGGTTTGGCATCCAAAAAGGTGTCAGACAGGGCTGTGTGGCTTCCCCTTGGCTGTTCAACCTATTTATGGACCGGTGTTTGCAAACTTTGAAAGATGAAGAATGTGGGTTAAGAATGGGCGAGTTAACCGTCAAATGCCTTTTGTATGCCGATGATCAAGTCATACTTGCGTCATCGGCGGCAGAGTTGCAAATGATGGTTACATTAATGAACTGGGAATTAAAAGAAAGGGGAATGAAAGTGAACGCAAGTAAGACGAAAGTGATGGTTTTTGAAAGAGAAGAAAGCAAAACGGTATGTGAAATAAGAATAGAAGGAGAGTTGATTGAGCAAGTGGATGAGTTTGTGTATTTGGGATGTGTATTTAGCAGGGATGGTAGATATGATAGGGATATAGACGATATAGAAAGTAAATGCAGGGAATAGAGTGAATGGGGCACTACACTCTATTATGAAGAACCAGAATTTGTCAAAACAGGCACGTATGGTAATTCATAATGCTGTGTTAGTCCCTACTTTAATGTATGGTAGTGAAAGCTGGGTGTGGCAGAAGAAGCACGAAAGTAGAATAAATGCTGTAGAAATGCGGTCTTTAAGGAATATGCTAGGATGTAATCTGAATGACAGGGTGAGAAATTGCGTGATAAGAGATAAATGTGGTATGCAAGATGATGTTGTGACCAGGATTAAGAAAGGAATGCTTCGGTGGTTTGGTCACGTAGAAAGAATGAATGAGGAAAGAGTGACTAAGCAAATTTATATGGCAGATGTGAAAGGCCGAGTCGGGAAGGGACGCCCTAGGAAAAAGTTTATCGACCAAATTGGCGATATTTTGAAAATGGGCCACGTTAGAAGTACCCTTAACCGACGAGCATGTATGCGTAGATATATGGATGTAAAGGAGGCGAAAGAGGTATGTCAGGATCGTGCCAAATGGAAGTCCGTAGTCTCTGCCTACCCCTCTGGGTGACAGGCGTGAGTGTTTATGTATGTATAGGAATTTCATATCCTAAAATATACCTAATATAATTTAAATGCATAAGAATCTAAGAAGGGCAGTCAATGATAAATAAAATTTGTTTTGTAAGTTGTTTTTTTAAATAATACTTTAACACAACAAAAACATGAAACTGAGAAGAAGCACCCGATCTGCCGAAACAAACAAACAAACTCAGAGAGGTCAGTCCAGGTATTACATTGGTCATGTCATACGAGAACCAGGCAGGTGGCTAATATGATCCTTTGAAGAAAGAACCATACAACCATACATATCCGCACTTGGCAAATATTTGTTTATATTTAACCTTACCTCAGACGTACACATATTATTTTATATATAATTTACTATACTACTATATAAGCTACTACTAAATAAAATAGTAGTAGATTTGCTAATGTATTATAGTATATTTTGGATTAGATTTAATTTATTACAGAATAATACGAACTATATAAAAACTAAGGAGTGCATCAACCTACCTCAAATATTGGGTTATGAATACAGATAAGTACACATAGGATTTAGTTTCTAAGTTGTACATATTTTATAGCATTCGTTATGAATAGCATAAATAGGCCAAGCCCCCTAGCCTACAAACGTTTCGTAACGAATCTCTTTCTACAATCGCGCCTTTTATTTGTCTAAATTGTAGTTTTCTTCTAATTACCTACTTACATTGTCTAGACGTGTTCTTTGGACTTCTGTAAGGAAGTCTGTGCTGTTAGTATTCCGTTTATATACGTTACTATTTTGATAGACGTTTGTGCTTGTCCCTGCAGTGACACAAATCCTATTGTTGATAACTGTCTAAGTACTAAGAGAATATTGCAAACTGCTATTGAACGCAAACAATCAATAAACAATATACAAACTAACATTTTTTATTTATTTAATTAATGCATAAAAGCTCCACTCACATCAGTCGCGCTTTCGAAAAAGCAGTTGTCCTGACACTGGCTGGCATATACTTCGGGGAGTTGCCTGTGGGCTATTATAGCTAACTAGCTATGCTAAGTAAATACCTATTTAGAATACATAGTACCTACAGTAATATTTGCATAATCTCCAATAAAATACAAAAACATAAAAAAACACAATTATTTTACACTTTTTTCTGTTTGTTTTAGAAGTCGGTTATATTTTTTTTTCAAAAAAGTTTTTAATGCATCTTTAGTTGAGATTTATGTCCCTTTAGTGGGTACAGGCGTAATATTATACTGTGTGATTGCGTAAAGAATGCATAGATACGCGATAGTAGCAATCGCGGTTCATTTTCTGTCATTTATTGAAATTTTCTCTTTTTAAAATACGTTACCCCTACAGTAGGATTTTCTCCTGTATCGTGGAGGCAATTTACAAACATAAATTGCACAAGCACAAACATACAGACCCGGAACAACAATTATTTGTAGGCCATACAAATACTTGTTCCGTGCGGAATTCGAACCCGCGGTCCCCAGCGCAGCCACTCATTGCTAAGCCACTGCGCCACGGAGCTCTCTCAATTACCGTTTGAATTTATGTTGTCATTCAAAGAATCGCATAGGTACGCGATGACGCCGTCGCACATTGCGTCACTCAGGAGTGCGTATGTTTGTGCGCATTAGCTTCTTACTGCTCATCACAGCGTCTATCCCTTTCGCACGTGATAGCCTGAGATAGCATGCATTTTAATGGGTTAAACACAGCCCACCATTTAGTTCATGCCATCGACTAGGGCAACCTTAAAATCTGTCTGTCAACACAGCTAATCGGGTTTGTAGTAGTGATAATACGTCGTAATTTCTTGTATGTGTGCTCCCGGCGACGCCGATCCTCGTATAAAATAAGGTTGACAGCCATTCTATTGTGTATTATAGTATTCTATGATAATAAGTGTAATGTAAATAATTACTTGTAGTAATGTCGAACGATGCTGTGGGTCAACCGTCCAGAGTGACCCTTTGCCTAGGCCAGGTGCTGCAGCTACCTGTAATGAGAAAATAAATTACTGATACTCATACCAAATTTATACCTATAGTAACAATATCGTTACAATTTTATTTACCTTTAATGTAATTTTTAATTTAAAAAGAAATTTCTATAACTGCAGTATTAAAAAATACTCACATGAAAATTTTCGACTTCTTTAATACCATTGGCAACTCTACATTTTTAAAATGTAAAGTACCAAGCCTACATAAGTTTCACATGCTGGGGATAGAGGCAGAATTCCTATTTTTTCGAGGGTTTTAGAGCAAGGAAATACGAAATCTACATGTCTAGTTCTATTGGGGACAAAATTTAATGAAGGTTAACTTAAAAGTATGTCATGATAACTCACCTTATGGAAACATTTGTTGAGTGAAAGATTGTGCCTAACGCTGTTCTTCCAACCCTGTGGCGCGTGCTTGAAGTAGGGGAAATGGCGGATGATCCACGCGTATATTTCCTTGACGGGCAGGGCACGAGTGGGGGCAGCTTCTATTGCCATAAAGATAAGACAAGAAAAGGAATATGGGGGTTTTGTGTGAGTACTAGAAGCTGGAGGGGAGGGGGGAGCTTTACAAGGAGTACGTGGGGGAGACGGCACCCGGGCCATCGGTGGGGGTGTTTTCGATGCTTCTGTTTGCTGCAGAAAAATGGGTTATATGATACATAATACATTTAATATTATTCATGATATTGTATTACTTAATTAGATAAAACCGATAGGGTCTGTTCTACAAAAAAGTCCCGCGGAAGATATGCGAATTAAAAATAATTGTTTTGGCAGCAAATGTCGAATTTTGCAAACACCCGCGGCTAAGAAACTTATTTTGTAAAACTTACTTTATCTGCGTCTGAGACGAGAAAAAAGGGGAAAAGAAAGTAATTGGTAGAGAAATCATATTTTTCTCAAGTAAAAAGTAAAATAGACTGCCTGGTGACCTGTTGCAACTCCAATTGCGATAGATCTGCAATCTTATATCCACTTGCAAAACCTTCGAAGATGTTCTCAATTAAGGACGCGTTTACAAAATGGATAGGTATAGAATCGCACTACTACATTGACAAAAGTCACACACACACTAGTGTACGCACGGTTGGCTGTGGGAATCGTAGTCAAATGAAATTATTTTGATAATTTGAAAGATTGAATTTGTTTTTCATTTCTTATACCTACCTCAGAAATATACTTCGATACGAAATATGAATACCTGCTCCAAAGACTGCTTGGCACTGGAAGCCCTCTACTGGTAGTGAGATGTTAGCTCTGGACTTTGAACTGGTTTTGTCAGTTATAATAAGACCTTACCTACCTGCGGACTTGATGGAGTGACCTGAAGGTGTAATTTGGTGATTACAACAATAGGAACTCCTAGACTAGTGGAACTAGGTGTGCCGAGTTTGGGTTCGTTTTGTTGGTTATGATGAGACCTTACCACCGGACTTGATGGAGTGACCTGAAGGTGTAATTCGGTGATTACAAGTGGAACTCCTAGACTAGTAGAACTAGGTGTGCCGAGTTTGGGTTCGTTTTGTTAGTTATGATGAGACCTTACCACCAGACTTGATGGAGTGACCTGAAGGGGTAATTCAGTAACTACTGCTGGAATTTCTGAACGAGTAGAACTAGATGTGCCGAATTTGGGCTCCGTTTTGTTAGTTATGACGAGTCCATACCTCCGGACTTGATGGAGTGACCTGAAGGTGTAAATCGGTGATTGCAACTGGAACTCCTAGACTGGTGGAACTAGGTGTGCCGAGTTTGGGTTCGTTTTGTAGGTTATGATGAGACCTTACCACCGGACATGATGGAGTGACCTGAAGGTATAGTTCGGTGATTACAAGTGGAACTTCTAGACTTGTAGGACTAGGTGTGCCGAGTTTGGGTTCGTTTTGTTAGTTATGATGAGACCTTACCACCAGACTTGATGGAGTGACCTGAAGGGGTAATTCAGTAACTACTGCTGGAATTTCTGAACCAGTAGAACTAGGTGTGCCGAATTTCACTCCATCAAGTCCGGTGGTAAGGTCTTATCGTAACTAACAAAACGAAACCAAACTCGTCACACCTAGTTCTACTAGTCTAGGAATTCCATTTGTAACCACCTGATTACACCTTCAGGTCACTCAATCAAGTCCGGTGGTAAGGTCTCATCGTAACTAACAAAACGAACCCAAACTCGGCATACCTAGTTCTACAAGTCTAGGAGTTCCACTTGTAATCACTGAACTACACCTTCAGGTCACTCCATCAAGTCCGGAGGTATGGACTCGTCATAACTAACAAAACGAAGCCCAAATTCGGCACACCTAGTTCTACTCGTTCAGAAATTCCAGCAGTAGTTACTGAATTACCCCTTCAGGTCACTCTATCAAGTCCGGTGGTAAGGTCTCATCGTAACTAACAAAACGAACCCAAACTCGTCACACCTAGTTCTACTAGTCTAGGAATTCCATTTGTAACCACCTGATTACACCTTCAGGTCACTCCAATCAGTCCGGTGGTAAGGTCTCATCGTAACTAACAAAACGAACCCAAACTCGGCACACCTAGTTCTACAAGTCTAGGAGTTCCACTTGTAATCACTGAACTACACCTTCAGGTCACTCCATCAAGTCCGGAGGTATGGACTCGTCATAACTAACAAAACGAAGCCCAAATTCGGCACACCTAGTTCTACTCGTTCAGAAATTCCAGCAGTAGTTACTGAATTACCCCTTCAGGTCACTCTATCAAGTCCGGTGGTAAGGTCTCATCGTAACTAACAAAACGAACCCAAACTCGGCACACCTAGTTCTACCAGTCTAGGAGTTCCAGTTGCAATCACCGATTTAGACCTTCAGGTCACTCCATCAAGTCCAGAGGTATAGACTCGTCATAACTAACAAAACGGAGCCCAAATTCGTCACCCCTAGTTTTACTCTGCAAGAAGTTCAAATAGCGGTCACGAAAGTACACCTTCAGGTCATGCCATCAAGTCCAGAGGTAAGGTCTCATCATAACCAACAAAACGAGCCCAAACTCGGCACACCTAGTTCCGCTCGTCCACGAGTTGCAGTAGTAGGTAAGTTTATATATCCTACTTATTTTTAGCTAAATAAAAACTGTGAGTATAAAAATAATAATTTTATCACTTGTCAAGTACTTATGTTTCCAATTTGTTTTTTTCTAATATTTTGTGTATGTACAGCGATCTTTTCAGAATGAGCCGCTGCAAACAGGCGATACAGTGACCACTCACGACGGCGGCCGAGCACGGACTGTGGTTTCATCGAAATCTTTGTACAATAAATCAAAGCAGGCACCAACAATAAAATAGCCCTTATTGCAATACATTATGATTCATCCATATTACCAAAATATGTGAAAAAATGTGCATCAGTTTTTATTTTTTTTACGACTATTTGTGACATTTTGTTAAAAAATAAACCCAGGGTTTTTTAATTGAATATGTCTGTCATCTTATAGTATTTTTTTAAATTTTTAAATATGTTGATAATAGACCAAAACATCTACCGAAACACAAGCCGGTATCGTTAATTTTGTAGAAAATGGCAACGAAAGTTCGTTTTTACAATATAAAAAACTACTATTTTCAACAAAAGAGTTACAGACATTTGCAGATGAAGAACCAATCTATACATGGTAGTTTTTACTTATATTTGATTTGGTTTAGTTTTGTCACAAAATCTACCGAAAAACACCCTAATTTTGGTTGATTTGCAAACGCGTCCTTAATGGATTTCAAAATAGTTGTCTCAAAACCCTCGTATATCTTCAGAAGTGCCAATTGGTTTAGCTACTCTATCTCAAGTAGCTTAAAAGAACACCGTGCGACCTTTTGTATTTTAATATTACGTCACTTGAAGATGACACTTATTCGTTATTGATTACGAAGCGATGTTTTATTCAAACTAACACAGTAACAGCGACATAGATTAAAAATAATAACTTAATTTACGACATAATATAAAATACATAATTTTAAAAATGAGCTTGCTTGTTCGTAAATAGAAGTTTTATCATCATCATCATTACAAACTTACAAAGTTGCTTTTTTATTTTTCGTAATAAAATATGGTTTTGTATTGAACACAATCATAGACTTATTATACTACTGCGTAGGAACCGGGTCATTAACCAAACAAAATGACACCGACTCCTTGGTGCGAAAATGTTTATGGAGCACCAACGCGGGCACCAAAGTGTGCGTACAATGTTTACACTTTTAGATTTTTAGCACTATTTTAGGGTAAATCTACTCATATAGGTAGGACTTTTACATATCTGTTATTCACAAAACTCAATATTTTTAATAGTGAAATGATTTTTATATTATTTTTATTTATTTATTTTATTTATATTTATATATTAGATTTTTATTTATTTATTATTCAAATCTAGCAAAGATGTTGTTCTTTAAAACATTAAAAATTAGGTGCAATAAATAAGGCTATTTTGATTTTTTTACGATTATTTAGGGAGTATTTCTACAGGTTCTAGGGTAAAACCAAAATCATAAATGGAAACACTGGTTCCGTGGTATCTCATGAGTATTACTAGTATTACTCATTTAAGAGATGGCGCTGATTTATTCTATCTATGCTCAAACCGTGACAAATTTTTGTTCGCACGATCATAATATCTTGTCATTTATATCGATGAACACAACACTATTTGGTTTAAATTAGTGATAACGAATAAAATAGTTTTGTTACTTTTGATTCATTCATAAGTATCAGAAGTCTTATAATGTATTCGCAATTTCGTGGCACATATATAACTGTCAAATTAATCACGCTACATCTCTTTCTCAGATCATCATCATCATCATCTTCATTTCATCATCATCTTCATTACAGCCTATCAAATGTCCTAACAAAGAACAAAGGCCTCCCACATATAAAGGGGATATAAGCCATACGATACGAGGATACGAGGGGTGATCCAAAAGTAATGATAATCGGTTACTTCAGGTCCGCATAAAAATCCAAAAAAAAATTTTTTTTTGCTTGCTTATATACTAACTACGTCAGTCTAAAAAAATCATATAAATAGATCACGATTTCCGGGAGATACATTCATTTGAATACGAACTGTCAAAGAGATAACATCAACGTGGAGAAAAACGAATTAGAGCTGTCATCAAGTACCTCTGTTTGAGAAAAATGTCTTCAAAAGACATACACAGTGACTTAATGGAAACAATGGGGGACTTTGCTCCTCCATATTCTACAGTTGCACGCTGGGCCAAGGAGCTTAAACTGGGCAGAACATCCACTGAAGATGAACATCGCGAAGGACGCCCATCCACGTCCCTCACTGAAGACAACGTGAAAAAAGTCGAAGATGTTGTGTTGGCAGATCGAAGAGTGACCATCAGGCATGTAGCTGAGGTCACAGACATCTCATATGGCAGCGTTCAAAGAATCCTTGCGAACGAGTTGCATATGAAAAATGTCTCTGCGCGTTGGGTACCCAGAATGTTAACCGACGAGCAAAAGAAAAATCGAGTTGACATTTCGAGGGTCAATCTCGAAAAGTTCCACGCAGATCAAGAAAATTTTTTGTTCCGTTTTGTGACTATGGACGAGACCTGGATCCACCATTTTGATCCTGAAACGAAACAACAATCGATGACTTGGAAGCGAGCCTCCTCATCGACGCCAAAGAAATTCAAAGTTTCAAGTTCGGCGGGAAAGGTTATGGCATCTGTTTTTTGGGACGCTCAAGGCATAATTATGGTGGAATATTTGGAAAAGGAAGCCACTATTACGGGCTCTTACTACGCAGACCAAATAAGAAGATTACGGGAGGCCATTAAGGAAAAAAGACGCGGCAAACTGCGAGCTGGAGTGCTGTTTCACCAAGACAACGCACCGGCTCACAAAGCCGCAGTTGCGATGGCTGCCATTCAAGAAACGGGATTCGAACTGCTCGAACACCCTCCCCATTCGCCAGATCTAGCTCCTAGTGACTTATACCTCTTTCCTCGGCTCAAGGAACGCCTCCGAGGCAAGAAATTCGAAGACGATAGCGAAGTAATGGCCGCTGTTGAAGCGTTTTGGGAGGGTCAAGACAAAGAATTTTTTTCAAAGGGAACCCTGGGTTTAGAAAAAAGATGGACTAAATGTATTGATTTGTTATTAGACTATGTAGAAAAATAAATTATTATTTTAACTTTAATTACCGTGTTTTATTTTCATTATCATTACTTTTGTATCACCACTCGTGGTTGTCCCACTTGGTAGGCGGATAGTTTTTTTAATAATTTTGAGATGTTGTCAGAAAAATGCTGCTATACATCTCACGCTTCAGTTTTCCTGTCGCCTCTTTCGGTCCTCACAGAATGATATGGGGTAGTTTATTCTCTTAATATGCTGCTACTTTTTACTGGAAACGAGGCATTCCATCTTAGTCCTCAAGGGTGACAACGCATCTGCTTTTTGATTCGTAATCGAGCATAAATGTAGATGTCTATGAACGACAGCAACCACTTACCATCAGGTGGACTGTGCGCTCGTTTGTCACCCTATCCTATAAAAAAAATTCTTACATGGCAAGCTTTCTTCAGATGTTGTCTTAATTTGAACCTCACGTGGAAGTGTTTGTGAGGTTTTGAAGCAGATTCGGATTTGGTTTATTGCTTTCCTGTTCTCCGCTGCTAGATACAGGCATCTTCTATTGAACGGTTAATTTGCCCGAATCGATACGCTTAGCTACAATCTACCTTAGATTGTCGATCGCAGTTCGACAATCTGCATTTCAAGCACTTTTCGCAACCATGACACTAGCCGTCACCAGTCTGGCTATTTCATATTTAGCTTAGAATATATGGCTAATATACCGCCATTTATCGGAAGCCAATATTTTTTGTCATTTCCTATAAACCTCATACAATTTCCAGAGAACAAAACTGATTAGTAGATCATGTTTTTTTGTCATTTCCTATAAACCTCATACAATTCCCAGAAAACGAAACTCATTAGTAGATCATATTGTCACAAGGGAATTTTTCTCGTAATGAATGCATAAACATGTTAAAGTTTCTTATAAAGTAACCATTTAATGAATACCTATTTTTTCGAATTAAATATGTCTAGAGCAATTTGAATTTATAAGTTTTTTTTTTTTAATTAACATAAGAACCTACCTTCGTCACAACCTGACTTGTGATTGTCTTCGTATCTTCCATGTCATTTTTGGTGAGGTTAATTCCTGAAAATTTTAAAATTATATTCAATTTACATTATTTCGTAAATTATGTTTATTTATGTAGTATCTTACAAGAGTAAATTTACAATTGATGCAGGGAAAACCACTTCAAACTAGTATATTAATTGCATGAAAAATAAAAGTCTGGTGGCGCACAGAAACGGCTCTATCGATGTGAATAAAATGTTGTACTCAGATAAGATAGGTCAATACTATGTGGTATTATACCACAAGAAATTGTTTGCTGCTTGGTCCTTAAGTCTATGATTTTGTTATTGTATATCCGAATATTGTCAAATAATTAAACCGAATAATGTTTTATAAGTTAATGACTACAAACTCAGTTTATAGAATACAACAAGACCGTCTCATATTTAAATTTTTACTACTAACAAAATCAACAAGAATGTTCTCCCTATTCATATTATCGTGGAAAACTTGTAGGATTTCGCCAGCTTCAGGCATGTCTGTAATGAGAGGGTGAAACTTACTAAGCAATGCAGCAGCGACTTTAAAATATTTAGTAATATTTTTAGAAGATATATTATAAGAGTCTTGCCTAAAGACTTTAAAGTCGCGTTTAAAGCGGCCATTCACCACCTCCATCACCATCTGCATATTGTCACAGTGCGACTTTTATTTGCTTCTAATGTAGTGAGTTGAAGTTCACCCTCTCTTACAGATGCAGGAATTTGAGTCTCGTAGCCTGCTTCATTTAATAAAGAGATCGAATCTCTAAATCTCCTATCCAGAATAAATACATCTCCTCTATTATAGAACTGCCTTAAGGGCTTACCTTCTCCAAATTCACTTTTCATAATGTCATTCACTTTTCACAATACAGGTCAATTCTTTTAAAAAATTAAGCAAAAACAATGAAAAATGTGTGCATAATCAAGTCGAAATGGATTGCTATGGTCAACTAACCTCTAAGTAAATTTCGGTCCTGAAGCCAACTGAGGCTGGTCAGGTCGTCGTCGTGATCAGCGGGTGGTAGGTTACCGGCGTTGCCACCGCACGCCACTCTGTTAAACACACCAATGTCTAGTTGAGGTAGACTGTTGGGTTCAAAATATATTTTATGGTTAAAACTACTTTTACGGATTTTATCGCGTTTATTTTTACTTTTTATTTACTTTTATTTTTAATTCCCAACGTTTCGGGCGCTTTCCAGCACCCATGGTCACGGGGGACTCCCTGTATAGTGTTCGCGTAAATATAAGAAATCATTATATATTTTATGGGTTTTTTTAACGGCGCTTTCCTTTGTACAACAGTAATTTTATTATTTGGCTAGTAGTGACGGTGTATGAAGATACATCACACTGATGGGATCCATCATCCCATATCGTTGTTTGGTAAAAGGCGTTAAAAGGATATGCTAGAAATATCTAAAAGAAGACTCGAACTTAAGGACCGATGATGATAAGAAAAAAATAATAAAAAAATTCTTATAAAATACAAAAATATTAGGCATTTATCTAACATTGAATACTGAATGAATTTTACGCAATACATTGTTGTATGTAGATTATACTCGTAATATAGAAGCTTAAAAACCACTGAGTCAGTAATTCATTCTTGGGGCGATGTCATACGCTTTCATAACAAAATCCCAGAAAGTATACAAAATTTGACCTGCTCACAATTTTATTAAACTAAGTTTGTATAAAAATTGTTATTATAATATTAAGGAATTTATGGATGATAATAATCCCTGGTAAGCTTGTCTGTTTTGTGTTGTTAATTGTTTTGTGTTGTTAATCGTAACATGCATTGTAACATGATTGTAAGCTGTTATTTAAAAAAAAAGTCCCGCTGGTTTTTTTGCTAGTTCTTCCCAGGACAGAGGTTTTCCGAACCAGTGGTAAATTAAAAAAGTTACTTTCAATAAGTATTATTTATAATCTGTATTGAATGAAAAGTTTCTGTTTCTGTTAATAGATATGTAATAAAAAGATTATTTAGCAGTAACAAATAATATTAAATATATAATATTAACAAATAATATTATGCGATGCTACGCATTTTCTTTATAAATAATTATTATAATATTAGCATAAATTAACAACGGAAGAAAATGCGTAGAATCATGATAAAAATCAATTATTCATTGTATTCTTGAGCAAGTAATAAATGTTTGTAACTCGTTATTTAAAGCGAGTAAATGTATTCATAAAGAATGTTTGTAAACATCTCTTACTTTAGCATTCATGTTCTTCTTTAAGCAACAAAAACTACATACTCTATCTATCAAATGTCACAATATATCACAAGGTCCTTTGTCTTACCCGGTCACCTAAAAACTGATAAAAACCACTATCACAACGCGATGATTGATTGTAGCGAAGAAAAATTATAAAACGTAGCTGGTAGATAGTGTGATCAGATTTGAAAATAAAATGTTGCGTAGAAATATACAATGTGACAAATGTGTGTGCACAAATTGATTGTAGCATATTAATATTAAGCTGTATGTTATGTAACTTCCGAATTATATATCCAGCGCAAAGATTGAGAGCAAGAATTTAGTATTGCCGTTATACAAAATGGCGCTTGTCTGCATTACTTCATCCAATAAATTTTTGCTATTAAATTTTTTTTGATTGTTACCAGAAGTCTTCATAACTTAAGAGTGTGTATTCACAGTGCGAACATATCCTAGATTTTTTCGTTGTATTTCTTTGAGCCTGTTACTTGAGAATGAACCTATTATTCACAATTTTTTTAATTTTTTTTTGCAATATATTTTTTGCTTTGTTATATGTAACGTCACACGGTAAACGAGAAAATGGAAGTGTTAATGCCTAACAAATGGCATGTGTTAAAGTAAATTGATCTTCGCAACTGTATTTTCCGTGTAGTGGCGGTATTAGAGTATCCACTACCCTATACAGTACCGTGGGTGTCGTAAGAGGCGACAGAGGGATACTGGAACAGGAGATCGTCAGCAGCAGCTTCCTGACAATAACTCAAATGGTAAAAACTGCGGTTGACAATGCCTGCCAATAGCGGAATCTCCCCATGAGGCAATATATAGGGGCGGCCTATGTTCAGCAATGGGATTTTAAGAACTGTAATGGATTAATTAACGTAAAGATACAAATGTGGCAAAGGCCTTAGACTTTCATATATTACGGCGATTTCTTTTTGTAGCAAGCGCAGTCATATGCGCAGAATAAATTATCGACCAGTTAGCTTTACGACATTTGTTTGTCGTAAAGAAAGTTGTGAATATACACGGGGACCCATACTATTTACACTATTAATACAATTGTGAACAGGATCTAAAAATGGTAGTCAGGGAATTCTATCACTTGTTTTAATATAATGCATGAAAATAATTTTACTTTCTATAAAATTACTAATAAGTATACAAATAGTTCCATTACTAGGCGCTGTTACCAAATTACCCGAAAGTTGTCGCGAAGTTGAAGCGAAATTATTAAACGAATAGTAGCAATGCAAAAAAACATGCTTTGATAAAAAATAAAGAATAATAAAATTTAAATTATTTTTTTACGCTTAAATACAATTAAGTCTCACGTTACGTAAATGCAAAATACACAAACATAAAAGCGTAAAAAATCTTTTAATTCCATTCGTTTCAGTTACAGTTTTGAATGCAATTTTCACGTTTTAGCGTAAAGTATTCATCATATTTTTTAAGAGCATAAACTTTGCAATACGGGTAACATTTTAACTAACGCTTTTTCGATATCGACACGCAATCCACTGAAGTACGAAATAAAATGTTACATAGGACAGGATATGGTAAGAAATGCGGGATTATTTTATTGATAAAAAAATCAATTTCTGGACTGTCTCGTGGCCGCCATTATCATTATTGCTATATGACGTTTTTCATAGGATAGAGTGACAAACGAGCACACAGTCCATCTGATGGTAAGTGGTTGCTGTGACCCATGCTATTTTCGATTACGAATCAAAATGCAGATGCGTTGTCTGTCACCCATGAGGACTAAGACGGAATGCCTCGTTTGCAGAAAATTGGTCTCCGGTTCTCTACACTCACCATACGAAACACAGCAGCATTAAGCTACTACTTTACACTGGTATTCTGTGAGAGCGAGGTCCCTCACACGGTGGAGCCGACCCAGTGCTTCCAGATTCACTGTAATTACAGTAGATTTACTGTATTTTAGACTTTTCTACTGTATACTGTAATGATAAAATACAGTGTATGGAATATACTGTATTTAATTTTCATATAGCTTTATCAATTCTAATACGTAAAACAGAACGCAGCTAATCTACACTACCACAGACTAATATGATGCTAATACACTACCTTGCTACAAATTTATTTATCTATGATCTACACCCACTGAACCACAAACTAATAAGAGTGCTAGCGCCATTATCCATAGACAATGTACAGTAAGTTTGTAACAAAGTTGCGGGGAATTCCCTGGCAAATCGGAACTAACGTGGAGCACTCTGGGACGCAACTAGCATAAGTAGGTTCTTGTTACTTGTTTTAACTGTCTTACAAAGGAACATTGTATTTTTCGTCTAATTCATTACACTTAAAGTAGTTTTGCCATTGTACATACATTTTAATTGAGATTTAAACTTTTTAATTGTTTTGGGTGATGTGAAATAAAATTTAAACTAAAAACTTATTCGCTATAATTTTTTCACTGTATTTATTACTGTAAAAATGAGCTCAAGCAGTGAGGAAAGTGATGTGCGTAGCGATGCTGGTCCGTCAAGAGCTAAAAAAGAAATATCGGCAACAATTCCGTGATGAATGGCTTCAATTACAAGACTACCGTAAGTGGTTAAAGCGTGATAAAAAGTCGATTTATAAATGCATTTGCACTGTTTGCGATTCTTCTTTGATTGCCGATCTGGGTGCTATTAAAAGACACAGTGAAGGTGCTAAGCATAAACTTCGTCTTCCTGCCCTATCGCATGTGCGTACCATTGATAATATTTTTAAAAGTCAGCCACGCGCAAGTGATGATGATCAGCGGAAAATTACAGAATTAAAATTATCGGCTTTTATGGCAGAACATAAAATATCGCACATAGTGATGGATCATCTCGTTGATTTACTTCCAAAAAGCTTTTCCAGATTCTAAAATCGCAAGTAATATCAAACTTAAACACACTAAATTACAAGCAATAATAAATAACGTTATCGGGGCTTCTGAAGGAGAATGTTTAGTCGAAGATTTAAAACGCGAAAAGTTCTCTATAATGGTAGACGAAAGTACCGATGTTGCCAGTGTGAAAACAATGTGTGTTGTAGTCAAATATTATGATCCTAATTTAGGACGTATCGTCAGTCGATTCTGGGACCTTATTCAAATATTTGATGACAAAAAAGCTGGAACGTCTGGTGATTACTCAGCCACGGCTGAAAAATTATTTAATTCAATAATAAAATCATTTCGAGACAAAAATATACCCTTAGAAAATAATATCGGGTTTGGTTCTGATGGATGTAATATGATGATGGGCTGCCATAATTCAGTGTCCTCACGATTTAGACAACTATGTCCAGGTATTACAGTGATCAAATGCCTTTGCCATTCTTTACATTTGTGCGCTTCCGACGCTTGCAAAGAATTGCCCCACGATGCAGAAAAACTGACTCGAATGATATACAATTACTTCAAAAATAGTAGCAAACGTCAAGCAGAGTTAAAGGAATTTCAAGTATTTACAGACACTAACATACACAAATTGCTACGTCCAGCCCAAACGCGTTGGTTGTCTCTTTCCAGTGTTGTGAACAGAATTATGGAGCAATGGGACGCTTTGCGATTGTACTTTGACGATAAATGGCTGGAAGACCAAGATTGCCAAGCCATTCATATTCTTTTGAATGATCACATCATCAAGGCATATTTTTATTTTTTATGTTGGATGTTGCCAAAGTTTACCCGCGTCAATGTATATTTTCAAAGCGAAGATCCGGTTATTATAGAAGCCCATAACAAAATGAAAGAGCTATACAGAGAACTCTTATCCTTATACATAACTCCGAATCATT